GTGACGCTGGCCAGGCCGCCGGGCTTGGGTCTGGCACCTTCCTGCTTGGCATGCGTGTAAAATCCCAAAATGTAGGGACAGGGACGGGTAGAGGCCCGGGAGGGCGCAGCTTTAGCCCTGCCTGGGCTGCCCATAGTTCTGCTTTTCACCAGAGCAGACGTTTGAGTTATTTCCTAGAAATGAAAACGTTTTTCTCTTCTCAGAGATAGGGTTAGCGCAAGCTTGGAAGGTAGACCTAAGTGGAGTAAGGGTAACTTGATCCATTTCAAATCTTGCAAAAGGGATTTTGTGCTCTGGAGGCCCTTGCATACAGAGTGACTTTTGAAGCTTAATTTAGGGATTTTGAGCCCAAAGTAACTGCAGGGTGAGGTGTAGTTCTGGAACTTCCACCCTTCCCTCCATGGGGCAAGGAAACTGGAACCTCCCCTTTCCGTGGGGACCACACTGTTACAGGATGTGGTCATTGGTGACCGATGAGGTTAATTTAGCCACACACCTGCTAAGGGAGAGGAGTCAAAGATTAAATAGTAACCATGTGGTCTAAGAGACTGACATATCGAAGAAAAATGAAATTACATAAAATATTGAATAGAAGAGAAACAATAAAATAGAGATATAGGGGGGAAGGGATAGCAGGGACCAGTGCTCTGATAAAAAACCAGGAAGTTTTCCTAATAAATGACAAAGTTTTTCAAAGTAAATGATTGTTAACCACCCAAAAAAAAATGTGAAACTAGCATTCCAGGTCAAGGAAACAGCAGGAGAAAATGCACACATTGAAAGAGCTTGTTTATGTGTGACTAGAAAACAGTCCTGGGTCTCCCTTGTGGCAGGAGTTAAAGTGCAGCACTAAGAGCTAGCTTAGCTGCTTCAACATGAGTTCTATGCCCAGCCAGCGAGGTGGCCCACATGGCACGCAGACCTCTCCTGTCTCCCCCGCTGCTATCGATCTGCCTGTTCTGCTCCCCACTCTGTCTCTGGTGAATCTTCTCACTGCCTCTGCACTTCTGGCCTGTACCCCAGTTCTGTATGCATAAATCTTAAAAAGAAAGAAAGAAAAACACTCCTTAGCGTAAGACAGGAAATGAGGAGGTGGCCAAAGAGGCCAAGGCTAGCAACCCTGCGCAGAATTTTGGTGGAGTTTTTGTTGTTTTGCTGACTGTCTTGCTAGTGTGTCACATGTAGTGTGCTGGAATATGAACAAACTTCCATTTCAGGAGATCATGCCCCACACCCCCACCCTGAGGGGACAGGATCCCCGCAACTGAATAAAGCAAAAGTTTTAAATCAAGGCTTCTAAAAAATTGAAGCACAACATGTTTCAGGTATGCATCAATGAAAATTGACATCTCTAAGTTCACTACTCAAAAGTCCAATTCTATCCTTTGCCATACATGTGTTCCCTTTTATTTTAGTCCATTTACTCATCCTCTTCCCCTTTCCTTCTGGTAACCACTAATTGGTTTTGGAGTGTAAAAGTTTATTTCTGTTCTATTTACATCAAACATCAAGGTATCTTACAAATCACAAGTCATCCAATGTGAGGTGCTCCATTCTCTACATGGGGTTTCTGTGTTCTGAAAGCCATTCTCTTCCTGTTCCTTCTCATTCCCTACCTCCTCTTATCTATTGGTTCATTCCATTTAAAATATCTACCATGAGACAGAAGAATTGTGACATCAAGTGGAATTCATCTTATTCTGGTGCGTTAGGAATTCATTTAAGCAATCCAAGTGGTTAATCATCCTTAACACAAACTTAATTCCAAGAGTTAGCAGATTATAATAGTAATAGGTACTTTGTTGTTTAAAGTATTGCCTATATGCTTACATTTAAAATAAGTAAATAACTATACTTGTGTGGTTTCAAGAAGTTCTGAGAAATTGCGCATTGCTTTGCCTTCTAAAAGCTTTCAATAATACAGATCTGGTAAAGGACTTTCCTTAGAATACTCAAGTTAACAGTAGTAAGAAATGTAAAAGTCCTGACAAGCAAACTTACTAGTTGTTATGTTACCTGGCAAATAACCTTTTTGAATTCAGAATTACTTTGAACTGAAGGGAATTGAAAAGCAGGAAAAGCTCTCTTTACCATCTTCCTCGCTTTCCAAAGCAAGATATAAATTTCATTTCCTGGGGATGATTCCGGACTCTTGGCTCTTGGCATCAGATTCTAGACATTTAGACTCTTGGAATCTTCACACAAACTGGGGCCATTACTTTCCCCTATATATGTACCTTCCCATGGTTTCCCTCCCGTAGAAGGTTAAGTCATTTTCCTTTGTCCGTCATTTCTCCACATATGTGGTTTGTTCCTTTGTTAAGACTATATAAATGAAAGCACTGGCCACCCCTTTGAATTACTCAGCCCTGAGTTCCTCTGTGTACATTCCCATGTTAAACTTCTGTGTTTCTCTTATTAGTCTGTCTTTTGTAACAGAGACCCAGTCAGGAACCTAGAATGGTGAAAAGTTTTTTCCTTTTAAAATATGTAATATCTTTCTTGCTTCTCCCTTTGAGTTCTGACAGACAGTTATTCTGACTCAACTAGAGTCTGCATGTATTGACCTTTTGAGAATGAAGTTCTTCTTAGCTTGATGACCCAAGTTAATACTGGTGCACACTTTGTATTGTAAGGTAGTATGTTTCCTTATCTAAGTGATCCACACACTGAAAGAGAATGTGGTATATATACACAGTGGAATACTATTCAGCTATATTTAAAAAATTAAAAGCCTGACCATTTGCAACAACATGAATAGAACTGGAGGACACTGTGCTAACCGAAGTCAGCAGGAAACAGACAGTTACCAGATGGTTTCATTCATATGTAGAATATAAACAAAGCAAAAGAACAGATAAAACTAAACCAAAACAAATTCTAAAAGATTCTAACTGCAAAGTTGAGGCTACCAGAGGAGGGAGGGGAGGTTTAGCATCAAAAGCAGGGGAGGGATTCAGTGGGCTATGGAGGAGGATTATGGGTACTTTGATGGTAGCTATGATGAAGGATCTGAAGATGTAGGAACCAGAGCCCTTTGCGGTGCTGATACTTGTTTGTGATGATAACCTGAGTCATATACAGTGTTGTAAGCCAATGGTACCTCAATAGAAATGATGCAATTCAAAAAAGAAAAAGAAACGGAGAGAAAATAAATAATACATACACCAATGCTCAGGTAGCATCCCATTTTTTTTTTTAAAGATTTATTTATTTGTGCATACAGAACTGGGGTACAGGCCAGAGGCTCAGGGGCGGCGAGAGGCTTCACCAGAGACAGAGTGGGGAGCAGAACAGGCAGATGGACGAAGTACACTGCTGAGGGGAGCAGCGGGCGGGTCAGGAGAGGTCTGCCACGCCATGTGGTCACCTCCAGGGCAGGCGGGAATCGAACTCATGTGGAAGCGGCTTTAGATTCTCAGTGCTGTGCTTTAACCCGCTGCGCCACCAGGGAGGGCCGCATCCCATTTTTATAAATCTGTAAAAACCAAAGCTGAAGGTCATACAGCTATTTAATAGAGATACAGAATTTACTTTGAAAAACTTATGACCTGAGCCACTGTGAGGGATTGCCTCACTTGTTTCATTCTTCAAACACCAGAATTATAAGGAAACTCCAAATATATATAATAACCTTTGGTTTGTGTGTGTGTGTTCAGGTAGGGATGCATAAATTTAATTTTTTAAATATAATAGTTTATTTTTACAACATTTTGTACTTTTTTTTTCCATCTCAATTGTAATCCCCATGGGTTTCCCATCACCGAGTTACCTGTGTGCCATCACCATAGTCCTGTGCATTTCCCTCCCCTGGCATAAATTTAATTTGAAAACAAATTATACAATGTTATATGACAATTAAGAAACAGCCATAATTTCCTACCAATAAATCAGTGTTGACCCAAGTCAACAATATTGCCCAGAGAATTTGGTCTTTATGCATTGTAGATATCAGCAGCATGGTAGCATCTTAAAAGAGGCACCTCAGATCATTAGGCACAAAAATCAACAAAGGTTTAGAAATGTTGGTCGCCCAAAGAGAAAGAAACCAGAGCCCTTTGTGGTACTGATACCTGTTTATTATTACAGTACAAGTTATTACAGTTTGGGGTGATAATACCAAATACTTCTGCTTAATACTTTCTGGCAGATGTTTTCATGCTACCAGAAATGAAAAAGGAAAGAACATATTTGAGAAATTTGGGAATTTCCATTATGACATTGTGAATTTCTTATAAATTTTAAGAGGTCAGTTTTTTCTTCCCCTTATGAACAGTTTCTAAAATAAGTTTTAAGTGTAGCAACTCATGTGACCTGACTTCCTCGGTTTAACTAAGGCTATTTCAAAAATCCTGCAGAGGGTTTTCTTAAGAGGTACAGTTGAGCTTTGGTT